CATCCAGCCGAAAACATAACAAAATCTAGACAAAGCCTAGAGCATTCTTAGGAAAATGCTAGAAAAGCCTTTGAAAATCTCATAAGCCAACAGAAAACGTGACAAAATCTACGAAAAAGCAAGGACATTGGCCGGGACCACGCCGCGACCAGCCGGGATTCGAGCCCAGGACCATTTTGGACCGTGCTTATTTTCCCGCGCGGGTGGAGAGGGTGCCCCAAGATGTAAATCAATTGGGATGGCAGAATCTTGGACAATCCAGGTCGCCATCAGGTCGCAATCAGGTCGCTTTCAGGTCGCAATCCCGTCAAATCCCGTAGCTATCACGTCGCTTTTAGGTCGGGATTTCGTCACTGCAACAAAGGTCCGGAGGGGCAGGGGAGGTAAGGTCTAAGGCTAAGGCTACGGTCTAAGCCTAAGGCTCAGGCTAAGGCTTAAGTCTAAGGCTAAGGATTAAGGCTAAGGCTCAGGCTTAAGGCTAAGGCTAACATCGACAGTCACGCCTCACCCCACGGTGTGGGGTCGGCGGATTTGCATGACTACTGCTGATATACCTCTATGCAGTATAAATTTTTTGGAGGGTGGATTTTCTAATTGCTCATGTGACAATCTTTGGATGACTCAGGATATGCCTCTTCATTTGCTTTTTGGTGCTTGCCCCAGTGCAGCATGCGTGCCATTTGAAGCTTCTTTGAGCATTCTGGAGACTGCTGAGGTGTTCAGAAAGGGGGAATCGTAGAGCTTCGACCTCGGGCTGCTGAAGCTGCACTAGCTGGGCCCCTCTCGGGTATAGTCCTTCTCCTGAACGGGGTGGATCTATCTCCTACAGTACTCAGGACAAGTTCATAACCTGCAAAACCTTTGGAGGGGATTGGTGAAACAGAACGGAACATGAACAGGTAGAAAGTTCGGTTGACCGTTCTTTTTCCAGGTCAACAGGTCGGGGGCCCATCTGGAACCCATCCCAATCAGGTGTTTGGGACTGGGGACATGGGTTTGAATCGAGCTTCCCGGTGAAGGTCCCATGATGTGATGGGCCCCTCCAGTTTGGGACTCCAACATGACCAGATTTACCTAACCTTTGGAATCAGAGGATTCTTGGAAGCGGGAATGATATACCCCATATATGGCAGTCCCATGGGTTGCGTTTGGGTACTGCAACTGTTTGAAGAAAGGAGTTGGAGCGACGGAAAAGCCGGACCTTGAAAGCACCAGCTTTCTGTCGTAGTCGGGTCGTGGTTCGATGCGAACCCGTGAAACTGCGGTGGGCGGTGTTCCGAGGAAGCCGGGGAGTCATGCGGATTCAGGAAAGGGAAGACGAAAGGAACGTGGAAAAGGATGAGGAAAACAAAATTGAGAGAGGATCCGGAATGAAAGCACAACCCAGCAAAAAAGCAAGCAGGGAACATGGTGTCGAGGCAAAGCCCCCACACACACACACGCACACTTACAACTTATTCACTCTTGGTCAACAACATGCTGCACATCACGTGACTCATGCACGCGATCAAAAACTTGAAGAGGTCTTCGTCCGAGGTCTTGGCCAGGCTCTACCTCAAGACCTGGTTCCCCGTGGACTTAGCACTCGTGGCATTGGATGTGGTGGCATGGCGGATGGTGGTCTGGACCACCCTTTGAGGGTGGGGAAGGGACTGCTGGGGGCCAAATGAAAAAGCACCAAGTTGTGGGGATGCATTTTCTTGGGGTCTTAGTAGTGAATTTCTGAACACGGGCATGGGTGTGACTTCTCATCAACCTCCATCGGGGGTGTGCCTCAGTTATGGGGGGTAGAGGACATTCTCTTTACAAGAAGAAAGAGATGAAATGATAATTGTATACATAATGTATAGATAATGTACGTTACTTGGGGCAGTTCCTGTTTGTTGATGTTTGTTGTAGACACCGCATTCTGCGAGTCCAAACTGAATGCCCAGTGTGCCTTGTGAGATGGGTAGAATTCCAAGAAGAAACAAAGGCACACCCTACCACATGATTATCGCATCACTACGCACCCTTGGAGGAGTATGTGCCTTTAAGTCATGACAAGCCCTTTCCAACCCCCACATCACCTGACGTCATTGCCACAACACCTGATGAACCTACCGTGGGCTCTACCTGGTTTCACCAGTCAGTTGATCGTTGAGAAGGGCTGAACCTCTTCCTCAGTTGCTGATCGTCTTCGAGATAATGGTGGGAGAGGGAAGCTTCAGCGGTGCCTTCCGCTCCGTCCGCGTGCTGCGCATCATGCGGATCCTCCGCAGCTCGGTGCAAGGCCGGTTCCTGGTAAGACAGATGACAGGCCCATAGAATCATAGAAACCTGAGACATCAGGGTACACAGCTGAACTTGAGGCTACAAGTTGGATTTGCAGGGATGATGTCTATGTGATGTAAATCATTTCACGTGGGCTAGGGGTTCAAATATGGAGACACCCGACTTCCGGTGCAGCAGACCAGCTAGACGGGGGTCAAAACCACCTTTCTTGACCTAGCTGGAAGGTCTTGACCAGACCTCCAGGGTGGACCAGACCTCTAGGCGTGTGTGTGTGTGTGTGGGCGTATGTTTGTGAGTGTCAGACTGTGTGGTTGCAGTTTGCTAGCAGGATTTGAATTGCTTTGAGTCACTAGTGAGAGTGATCATTTGACCAACAGTTTCATGCACCACTAACACCCATTGGCTAATGCGAGTTGCTTTTCCGTGGAACCATGTGTGACATGTTTGTTACTCTATACTGTACACATGGAGTCCCACATGGTGTTTGACTTTCCTCAGAACCTCGGTGGTGCCGAGGTTTGCTGCGGCTCCTGCGTGTGGCCAAGCTTCAACGGGAGTTGTCCATCATCGCCAATCGCTTCATCTCCGCCTATGTCTTCATGGTGATGAAGCTGGTTTGCATCGGTGTGCAGAGTGTGTGTAGAGTGTGTATGCCTACGGTGTGTTGAACACCTTTGGGGGATGAAGAGCAGTGCCTTTTTGTTGGGCCCCCAGCTCTGCTGAAAACTCTAAAACTCTCAGAAGTCAGGAAGGCCACACTGGGCAGATCCCTCGACACGTGTTAGATCCGGCAGCGGACGGTTGTGGAGCTGATCTGGCCTTTTGGGCTCAAGTGGAGCGTGTGGCCACCGGCTCCACACCGTACGCGTGGACCGTGCCACGATGCCCCACCTGGCACCTCCGCGCCGTACGCGGTGCCTGACCTTCGCGTGGCTGGCGTGGACGGCGTGGACCGCGTTGGGACGCGTGGACCGGTGCTTCGCGCCCAGCCGGACGGAACGCCGGACGGCCACGGTCGCACGCATGGCCAGCGCGGCGGAGTGGTTGGAGGGGCAGGGCTATGACGTTGCGGGGAAGCAAGGGCGAGGAGGCCTGGAAGAGGGTGCAGCAAGAAGACATTTGAATAGCAAAGGCTTTGAATGGGTGTTGCTTCGCATGTCGGTTATGTCGTGTAGTATGGGGCGGTCCAGGGGCAGTATGTGTTATGTTTTGGTAGATCGTGGCGAATGACCCACTGACTATTTGGGCTCAGTACTGAAAGAACCAGGCAGCAGCACCTTCGAACCAGGCAGCAGCTGGGCCTCCTTCCAGACTTTGCAGACGGACCAGGGCGACTTCTTTGTGGCCAAGCATGGCCAAACATGGCGCTGTTTGAACATGTTGGGGTATGTTTTTTGTGCGCCAAGCATGTTTCTTTTGTTTTTGGGATGGTTTGGTTTGGTTTGGTTCTACCCAATTCCTACTCCCTCATTGGCATGTTCTTTGTGGGTCAGAGGGACAGACCGCAAGGGACCGGTTGAGAGAGGGAGAAGAGAGAGTGAGAATCACTCAAGACTGGCCTCAGGACGACCACATACCTGGGCCACCCACAAATAGCGTAAAAGGAGGGCCACAAAGCCCACAAAGCCCCGACAGTTGTTATTTTTGCCCCATTTTGTCCGTGAAGAAGGACTTGTGTTGAAGCTCGTACTCCTTCGTAGACACTTACCTGCAGTCTTGGTTTCTAGCTTCAACAAGCTACCTGCAGCCAAATGTCCATTGGCATGTTGAGGACCGAGGATGATGTACAAGATTAGATACGATGTTCTTTGAATTGATGAAGTTCCGGTTGGATTTTCACGCTTTCATGGGCTTGCTTTGTGTCAATGATTTCTCCACTTTGAGTCCAGACCCCTCGCAAGGTCAAGACTGCCCGGCGTCCAGCGGCGGACATGTTCAAGGGCGAGGCTCTCGGATTGGAGGCGCTGCGTGCTGCAGGCGGCGTGTGCGTTCCGAAAGTCCTGCACTACGATGACGACGGCAGTGGGGGCTCCTACATCATCATGGAGAAGCTGAACATGGGCGGCAGCTTGACGTGGGAAACAACTCATGAGTGTGGAGATCCAGTTCTTTTTTGACATGCTCGCAGCTCCCAGTTCAGATCTCTCCTGTGGGGGGGCATAAATATCCCACCAGTGGCTCAGCTGTGGATGTTTGTGAGGTTTCGTTGACATGATGGGTGTGTTTGATTGTGCGCCAGGACCCTGTTGTTTTGGGCGTGGTGAATGCACCAGAGGTTTTTAATTTTAGACAGGAAATCGGCCTTCTTTTTGTGCAACCCACTGGCTCGTCTCTGCAAGGTTCTGGCCAAAGCTACCGTCCATGACCCCAATTGAAGGTCCCCAAGCTTCCACAGAGCTTGGAGCCCTGAGGTCGGGTCAATATGAAGGACTTCGGCAGGAAGCTGGAACCTTTGGATGCCATTGGTACAGCTCTTTGGAAGAAACATGGAAGTGGAAAACAAACTGTTTGTAGAGGAAAATTCATCCAAACGACATCAAACGACCAATTTCCACTTCCATGTTAGTTCCAGCGGGTGCACTGCAATGTGTTCCGCAAAATATTTCTTGGACCCCACCAGGTTTATGTGGTCGTGAATGTAGCCAGGACTCGGACTTGGGCCAAATAGTTGGAAGGTGAGTTTACATCAAAGACCATGACCAAAGCTTGAACCTTAGTTGGACCTCCAACTACTCCCGTCAGAAGTCAGTTGAGCCATGTTGAACCACTCGGAACTCTTTAACGGCACCGCGCGCATCCTGGCGTCTTGCGTCAGCCAAGTCCACGCCTGAGAGATGAGGCTGAGATGCACCTGGCGGAGCCCGCGCATCCAGAAGCCAAGTCGGGTAAGTTCGGCTTCCAGGTGGACAACACCATCGGTGGAACTCCTCAGAAGCTCGCTCAGATCATCTCAGATCCACACCGAAAACCACGAAGACAAGTTGGAAAAACACCAAGAAACACTAGGAACTCCTCTTGTACTTGTTTGGTTTAACTTGGCCAAACCGGTGCATTTGTGCCCAAAGCATGAGGTGACGGGAACACCCAGTCGATTGTGGGAGGGGGGTCTAGAGGGGAGCTCTCGACTATGATCCTTGGTATGCAGCGCTTGGTTTGCTTGCTGCGTTTTGAAGCTAGATTGAAGTCCAGTTTAGGTTGCAGGGGATTGCTTGAATCTCTCAGAGGGCCCTGACCCAAGCCACAAAATAGCTGTATCTTCCTGATTTTCTTCAAGGGTGATTTGAATCTGCAGGTGTTGCCTTTTCAGGCGAACATTTAGTGAGACTCCGCAGTTTGACAAGCATGTTGGTGGAGGAGCATCATGTCAAAGCACACCACAACAAACGCACCCCCAAAGACTGCCACATATGCCCTTGTCCCAAGTGTTGTCTTACAGTAATTAGTTTGTTTTTTTGTTAATGTCTTTGTTCTCAGTTCTCAGTTTAGATTAGCCGCCGCTTTTCTTGGTGTGTCGACGTGGTTTGAGCCAGTGAGGAAGAATGCGTGGACAGAAGATTGGGCCAGCTTCGTGAAAGAGCAACGCTTGGGGCCGCAGGTGCGAATGGCGGGGAGCGGTCAGCTCACCCGAGTCTGGAAGCAACTCTTGTGGCTTCGACGGAAGGGGCTGGACCGAGAGAGTTGGCTCATGGGACATATGGGACCGTGTTTCGATGGTTTTCAAGGCCCTCTAGAGTAGTCACCAGATGAGTATTCTTTTCCGTCTTGGAATTAGATGTTTTGGGCCTGAAGCTACTGCCCCACCAAGTCCCAAAATACCGTGGAATCTCTCATTTTTCACTGTCGCGAACCTTCCAACGGATGTCTTCAAAAGGGGTCAGACTTTTCGTCTTTGCTGTTTGGATGCGGAAGGCGGCCTGTGGACGGCCTGTCATGGTGCAGTTGAAAATCCTACCGATGACTGACGCACCCCAAGCATTCTGGGATATTCTGGAATATTTGATTCCTATTCAGGGCTTCACCTTCTCTACTCAAAGCTTTGGCCGAAAGCACCAGCCATTGGACAAATTGGATGCCAAGGAAGACGGGATAAGAGCGGGCTTAGTCAAATAATCAATTAGCATTATATATAGTTGAGCAACACCATGATGATGAATAATTCATATAGTTATATGTGATTTCCGCCTGACGTGTCTTTTCCTCCGCGAAGCTGAGGGAGGAGACAGGTGATCTAAGAGACCTCTTCAGTGATGTCGAGGTGAAGCCGTCCATACTGCACGGCGATCTTTGGAGTGGCAACTACCAAGGCACACCTGATGGGGTGGCCATTTTTGATCCTGCCACCTACTACGGCCATCATGAAGCTAAGCATGCAGTGATGTGTTTCTGCACAAGTGTTCCTGTGGGGTTCACCAGCTTAACTGTTTGGGGGGTGCATTTCAAGGGTCCCCACCACCGATGTCCATTTCCCAAAGAAGTTCATTGTCCGCGTGGCCGCGACACGTGTGTGACACGGTGAACTTCGGTGCCCAGGAAGCGGAATTTGGAATGTCCTGGTGCGCGGGCTTCAACGGCGACTTCTGGAGTGGCTATCGGGAGGTCATACCCGAAGCGCCCAAGTACCGGCAGCGGGCGAAGCTCTACGAGGCATATCATATTATTAACCACTATAACCTTTTTGGTGGTGGTTATCTTCAGCAAGGCATCAGCCTGTTAGAAGCCTTGCTGAAGTAGGTCCCTGCAATTGATTGAAGCAAGCCCGGTACTCAAAGCAGTACATCGCAACAGTGGCGGGCAGTTGACGAAGAATTGACTCGAACGGTCTCGATTAAATGCATCTCAGGAAAAAGAATCGAACTTGATTGTGCCACAGGAGTTTTGATCAGACAGGTGCGGTCCGGCGGTGTGTGTTTAATGCTGTAGATGCACATTGATTCGCAGCTTACTTACTAGCTAGTGTGCGTAACAATTTGGACCGGTGGCAGGTGTAGTGTGCACAGATCGACGGTGGTAGGACTGTGATGCGGCAGGTGATTCTTATGTTATACTGTTATAGAAAGTTGGCCATGTTTCAGGCTTGTTCAACTTTGCTATACTTGTATCTACTTGTCGTTGTCAGTTTCAATTATTTAGATTATAACGGTGCTAGCTAGATAGGCATTGCATCGATGGCCAAGTTTCTTGATGGTGTACAGGGCAGGCTTATAAATGGTTTTGCATCAATAATCAATGGATTATTTGACGCTAGTGCGTCTAGATGATACATGTTGAAATACATGTTCACACATATCAAAGATAGTGTAGTGGATGCCATGTGCAGATGGAGCTGTCATGTCGGTAAACTAGCACGCCGTTATCTCGTGCTAGTGGTGGCTTGCAATTTCAGCAACTAAACTCGGCCCAGGAGAGTGGTGGCTGCGCTGCTGGTGATGCTATCCATTAATCATATGATTGCTTGTTGTTGGTATGCTGTGGGCAGCAGTTTGAGGACTGCACAGCTGCCAATCCGTCCGACTTTGCCAGGTGTGGGGTCGTTTCTGGTTGCTATTGGGAAATCAAGACATCAACACCCAAACATGAACGGATCCTCCGAAGTGTTTTCAGTTTCGGACTCCACCTTCAAGGTCTCCCGTCTCTTCAGGCTTCACTGGGGTGAAACAGGGCCGAGTGGGCCACAGTGAGTGAGCCGGGAGGTCTGCCAGCGGAAAATCATCTACTCAAGGGCGGTTTTCACCCGCAAAAGGCCCGCTGAAGATGCTTTCCAGGAGTAGCACGCAGTCCACTTGGCTCAAGCGGATGGACCTGGAGGAGGCACATGGTCCGCGGATTTTTTGACCCGGCAACCGTTGTCAACAAGTGTTTTGCGGTTAAAGATCTGCAGAACAGCAGTTGTATTTTCTCTGGATGCTTCCGGCGGAACTGTCCGCCATGACATTGGCAACACACCGAAATTGGTTATAGCACACATCGATATGAACAGCGTGCTTGTGTGGAAAGTGGCAGATTCCGTACGAGGATGGAACAAGTAAATTCACTCATTGGGGAGGTTTCTTCATGCATTCCGAGACGCAGAAATGGCCTGAAATAGTGGCTAAATGAGATTGTTAGCCGCCAGCTTCAAAAAACTCGATCACTTCAGGTGGACGATAGTGGAAGTGTGCCCCATTGCCATCATTTTGTGACAAAGTATTGGGGTAAGGATTTGAAGGCCTGAAGAAAAGAACCTGCCTCTGCAAGTGGTACTTGAAACGGCCTCTTGATTTCCAGATCCCCTTTCACTCAAAGACCGAATCATCTAGTCCACTCCGAATCACGTCGTGCACAGAGGCTATGGATGGGGTTATTGCCCAACGAAGGTTTTGGAGCAACCCCCGTGGTTGGTGAGGAATCCATTGGATAGGAACTCCGGATATATGATTGAAGGGCCAGGCGGCTTGACCGTTATGAAAGCGTTTTCTTGTTCAGCACCAATGGAACTAATATACATTATGCCGGTGCAAAAATGCTATGGTATATGCTAAGTTGCGGTGCGTCCACAATGTGGAATTCACCAACAAGGAGAATGGAAGACAGGACATTCTCCTGCAACAAATTTGCCGCAGTCGCCCAAAGGAGTTTTCAGACTACAGAAGTTTAATGTATATTAAGCCTGAAGATATATTAGCAGTTAGCAGGTGTATTCTGCTTGCCAGACCTGAAGGAATTCTCCCCCCTCGGCTGAGTGGCTGGAATGGCCGAACCTGGCAGGTGGGCATGTTCGAAGCCTACGTGGCGTCGCTGCACTGGAGCTTGACGCAATTCACGCCCTCCACCAACAACGTGGCGCCCGCCAACTCCTTGGAAAGGTGGGGCAGACATGTTGTGTGTTGTCTTTTTCCCCGAGCTGTTTCTGGGCGGGCTTGGGCAAAAAGAATGTGGGTGTTTAATGTATGGTTTCGATTCCTGAGCGTTAATATAATGTGCACGAGCTGCACAGCGCTAATCAATCTTCAACTTCACCCAGGTGATGTTTCTCACCCAGCCTTTGGGGTTCAATTGTTCATCGGCATGTCACTGAACAAATGGCGCAGCCCGACCAATGTTGAAGCATGTTTGAGACAATCAAGCAGCCTCAAGCACCATCCCGCAGACGAATGGTGAAGTGGACCAAAACATGTATTATCATTTATTCATAGTGTTGCCACATGCAAATGACCTTCTCTCATTCCCACAAACAGTTGGTTTAAAGAAAGTGTAGCACAGTTTGGTCAAGGTCCCAGTCCCAGTCTATCACTAACAGCTGTTGCTGTGAACAGGATTTGCCCTAACTGACTCTTCTCCTGCTTGCAGGGGCCAAATCCTCACATATACCATGAGAGGTGAAATCCGATCATAGAACGGCAAATTCTACATGGCCATGGCTCTTACCAATCCTATGTCGTTGCTCCTCATCCAATCCCATGGCTTATGCTTTTTGCTTAAATTGTGCTTCCTCATAATGACAGCCAGGGTTCCTTGCTTATCAACTTGTGAAGTCAAGAGGTCCAGTCACTATCATGTTTGTTGCACGTTGACAAGCTCCAAAAGATTTTTTTTTAATCAACTGGATGGTTTTTTCTTACACACCATCTGCTATGCCGTACACACCGCACACGCCGCCAGGCTTTTTGCCGTCTTCGTCATTCTGCTCGCCATGGGTCCGAGATCCCACTGTGCGGAGAGAGGGTGGAGAGAGGGCGAAGCCAATGGATGACCCGTAAAAAGGCATTTTTGGGGATTGGTGAGGCCCCACAAAGAGGTTCAACAGGTGGAAAAGGATGAAGAATGTGTATAAATTTGTTTCGGGGAAACTGAGGGAGTCGGAGGCTCCTTCGTTCACGGAACATGTTGAACAAAAGCATTTTGCATGAAAAGAATCTTCAGCCCAACATGAACTGGAAATGGAGAAGCTGTCTCCGACACTGTCCGGCATTCCATGGATTCCTGGTCCTGGACCTGCTTTTTTTGCCTGCTTCAGATGCAGAATATAGGTTCATACTTCCTTGATCCTCTCAACCTGTTCCTGTTGTTGGCCATTGGAATGTTCCATTGAAGGTTTGATAAACCTTAGCCTTAGCATCCCTAGCCATCCCTAGCTTTAGTATAAAAAGAATAGTGGACCATGTTGTTCAGACATGACCCTATACGTGATGTTTGTTTGCACGAAGGTTGGAATTGAAGTCCCCCAGCTTTGCTCTCCAGCGCGGTTGGACAACAACACCTGAAACATTTTGACGCAAACATCCTTTGCCCCAAGCGACCCAGGTGGTTGTAGGTTGCCTGTTGCCACCCTTCCCCCCACCCCACCCAT